CCAGTCTGGGCCACAGAGCGAGACTCTGACTCGAAAAAAAAAAAATAAACAAAACCACATGCTTTAGAGAAGGTGGTGAGGAAATACCACAGAAAGGCCATCTCCCAGTCAATGGGCATCCTGGCACGCCCCAGGGGCACACTCTTCCTCATACACTGGTTTTCAGCTCCGGCCTAATTCTCTGTTGAAAGTCACAATGAAGGGGAGACAAGTTACCCCTCCACCTCAGCCTTCCACCTCAGCCTCGAACTATGTCCGTGGGCCTTTGGTACCCCTTGTCCCGGCATCTACTGAGAAGCGACAGAGACTCTCCCCCTGACCACAGTGCAGAAGGCTCTTCTGAGCTCTCTTTTCTTTTTCTTTTTTTTTTTTGTTTTGAGCTGGAGTCTCACTCTGCCGCCCAGACTGGAGTGCAGCGGCCGCTCCCGGCCACCGCAGCCTCGACCTGCTGGGCTCCGGCGATCCTTCCGCCTCAGCCTTCCGAGTAGCCGGAACTACAGGCGCGCGTCACCACGCCCGGCTGATTTTTTGATTTATTGTAGAGATGAAGTCTCCCTGCCCAGGCGGGTCTCGGACCCGCAGGCTCAGGCAAAATCCACTCACCTCAGCCTCCCAAAGGCGCGAGATTACAGGCTGGGCCACCGAGCCCGGTTTGAGCTCTTTTTTCAACGAGCCTCATCCCGGGGCCTGTCCTGGGCCTACCTCGCTCTGTTTTTAGCAAGAATCCCGCCAAGTCAGTTACACAGAACCCCCACCTCCACGCCCACCCTTGATATGGGATCACCCTAAGATATCTGATCAAGTTCCTCACTCCTCATCTGCCACCCTTGCCTTCGTGAGAATCCAGCCAGGCCAGTTTAGCAAGAATCCCCCTGTCCTTAGGCCCCCCTGGGCAACTTGGAGCTAAAGAATGTGCGGACTGAACCATGACATGTGTCACTTGCCCTCTGCCCAGTGGACCCCTCCAGTTCCCGGCCAGCGCCCTCCTCCCAGAGCGCCAGCTGCCAGGGCCTGTTTCTCCTACAACAGGTGTCTCATTTGTGCCAGGAGACAGACACCCGGATCTCAGGTGACAGATAAAGCCCCACCTTGGGTGCCCTCACAAAGCTGGCCTATCAAATGCACCATCGGTCAGGGCTCTGACAGTCTCCCTCCGTGCGCTGCAGACTCTTCGAGGGCCTGAAGATTAGCATCTCAGCTCACCGGTGAAAATGCGGCAGACATAGATCTCTTTGTGCTTTTTTTCAAAGACTCACACATACATGATCTCAACCTCCTCGCTAGGTGTTGTCATCTCCATTTTAGAGATGAAGAAACAGAAAGAAAGGTGAAGTCATCAGACCAAGGTCACACGGTGAGTAAGATAATCCCTGGACAAGTTTGAGTGCCTGGAACATAATAAGCACCTAACACACTGCAGTTTATAATTTGTTTTGGCAGGGGTGAGTAGGTCAGAGTCTCATTCTGTCGCCCAGGCTGGAGTACAGTGGCACGATCGGTCACAGCTCACCACAGTCTCAACCTCCTGGGCCCAGGTGATCCTTCCGTCTCAGCATCCTGAGTAGCTGGGACTGCAGGTATGTGCTGCCACGTCCAGCTAATTTTTTTTTTAATAGAGGTGAGATCTCGCTATGTTGCCCAGGCTGGCCTCAAACTCCTGGGCTATAATCCCAGCGACTCAGGAGGTTGAGGCAGGAGGAATGCTTCTGTAATAAAACAAATAACATCGACCCATTAAATGATGAATTTATCAATCCCAGAGTGCTAGGATTCCAGATGTGAGCCACCACGCCCGGCCTATGATTTTTTTTGATTAGTCACGAAGTTGCAGAGCTAGAACTTGCATTTATTCCTCCTGACCCCTGACGTGATTCATACCAAAGAGAAAGGAAGACCCGCACTGCTCAGGCTGACATAGGAGTTGCAGATTGCAGAGTGGGATGTCAGCCTGAGCCTCTTACCTCCCACCCCAGGGGCTGAAACACTTCAGAGCACTTTTACTTAGCAGGCAAAAAGTTCACACTCAATCCTCACGTAGGTATAAAGTCCGAAAGCCTGTTCATCAAGACCCTGGACAAACCCTGGACAAACCAGCCATGGCCCACTATAGGAAAATTCTCTCCAAATCAGCCGAACAAATGTCCAAGCCTCTAACAATGCCCAAAAAGGCACTTTACAAGGTGCGTAGCAAGATGTATTGCTTCTGCTCCCAAGTAGCTGTAATAATGGCAACACTAACAGCAGCTAACCTTTACTGAGCACTTGTTACAAGCAAGCCACACTAAGAGTTTTATTTCACTGTGTTAAGGCACAGATAGCGAGTGCATGCACACACATGTCACTTCATGGTGAACAGTGAGGGAGCATGATATATGTCCCTAGAATCTGGTCAAATCATCTGCTGACCGGATGCAGTGGCTCACGCCTGTCATCCCAGCAACTTGGGAAGCGGAAGCTAGAGGATTGCCTGAGTCCAGGGGTTCAAGACCAGCCTGGGCAACTTGACAAGACCTCGTCTCTACAATAAATCAAAAACTAGCCAGGCACGGTGGGGCATGCCTGTGGTTCCAGCTACTTGGAAGGCTGAGGTGGAAGGATTACCTGAGCCCTGGGGTTCGACCAGCGTGGGCAACCTGGTAAGACCTCATTGCTACAATAAATCAAAAATTAGCCGGGCATGGTGGTGTGTGCCTGTAGTTCCAGCTACTTGGAAAGCTGAGGCAGAAGGATTACCTGAGGCCAGCAGGTTGAAGCTGCAGGTTGAGGCTGCGGTGGCCGTGAGCGGGCCACTACACTCCAGCCTGGGCGACAGAGTGAGGCGCCGAGTCAAAAAAAACAGAAAAAAATCACCAGCTGGTCTACACTGGGAGCAATACCACCAGCCCAAAGTGAGTTCGATTCGCCTCACACCTCATTCCCACATCTTATTTCTTGCTCATTGGGAAACGCACAGATGTAATAGGGTGTAGACAGCCCAACCCCATGGAGGAAGCAAGCTCACCCGCAGGGGGATAGACAGTGGAGCCAAAAGGTCACCCCTTCCCCCCAAAAGGTCAGCTCTGCCTCAGTAGGGAACTCAGAAGCAGCTCAACCGAAGAGGCAAAGCTGAGAAAAAGCCTGAAAGAGAAGGGCAGG